GCGCCCGGCTCCGCTCCGTGAAACCGAGGAAACACTTGGAATTACGCAAATCTCTTCAAGAGACACAAAACTTCTCTTAACCGCAAACGATCACCATTAAGAAATCCCTAGGTTATGGCTTTTAATCTTAGCCCACGGAAACAAGCTGACTCCACGCGACTTCCGCGGGTGGTGGTGTGGATATCACATTATTTTAAAGCCCGTACTCGTTGTGAGGGTCTCTCGGGCGGGAATTGTTTTCGCAGCACTTCTAGAGAGAGTAAAAATTTCTAACAATAAAGCAAAAATAATTTCTCTACTAAATTTTCATTTAGAAAATATCGGGTATTTCCCCTAGGAAACGTTTTCTGTCAGATCCTGCCCGAATCAAGGAAAACTATTTTAGCACTTCTATGGCACTATGATAACCCTTGGGGCTCACAAACAAGTGAAGGCAATTCACACCTACTTAAGAAGTGACAAAGGGTAATGAGCCTCTCTCTGCTGCACAACTACCTAATCTATCTAACAGCTAGCTTCAATTAAAACACTCCTTAAAGTACTCAAACAACTCGAAATTCAGGTGTTTTCTAAACGAAGAAATCCAACCAAAAATGAAACGGGGACGCGCTGTAATGTTTTACGGAGAGGTCGGGTCCATCATAATTTATATAGAGCGGACGTAAATATATCCACTTTCTTTACCCAGTTTACCTCAAAGCAACAATCGTGCCAACATGAGAAGAATAGATCTATCATTTCAATTTTGGGGTACCTTTCTTGCCTAGAGTATTTTATAGAATTTCGCCTTCATGGCATTACAGAGACAAACCACCTAGTGAATTCCTCAACCAGGGAGGCAGGAAAAGACTAAGATACATATGCAGGCAATATCTATTAACACGAATCGCATGCACAACCGGATTCGAAGATAATCAAAACCCTATGTGCAATAAGTCTGAGCAGGTGATCAACTTCCGAGCACCGGGGAACCAGACAGACATAGAAACTCTGGGTAGATATAGGAACAGCGATGCTTCAGTAAAATCAGTGGGAAAAAAAAAAAGAACTAAGAACATTTAATCATTTAACGGTCAAGACAAATGAGTTTTACCACACGAGAAAGACGGGCAATTCCAAAACCAAAAGGAGGAGACTAAATCTGAACCACTCAGATCACAAAAGACGAAAAAAGACACGGACTATACTTGTACAAAAATCAAACAACGCAAGATGTTTCAATCGAAAAATAACAAAAAATAACAAAAAAAAAGACAACACGAAATAAAAGTCCAAGATCAGGAAAGCATATGGGAACACTTACCACACCTGAAGAACAGGGGGTCAGCAACGCCTCCTTCCCAACAAAACCATTTTCTGCCGGAAGGGGAAAGTTGGGGCTGAAAACCATGAGGTCGCTCTTGCCCGCGCCCTCCGCCACGCACACGCTCCGGCTCTGGCGCTGCGAGTACGACCAGCTCCCCACTTCGCTGGCGCACACCAGCGTCGTCGGACCGGGCCCCGACAGCACGGACGCCCGCGGCGACCACCGCGACGCCGCGTACAGCACCACGGCCAGCAGGAACACGCTCGACACCGCGCAGATGGCCACCACCAGCCACCAGTTCGTACTCGC